CTAATAAAAAATATTACTCTCTATTATTTTGAATTAAAATAGTTGTATATAAAAGTTAATTTTGTTAATAATATATTATTAATTATATATATCACGAATCTTACAAAATCATAAAAGTTTGTCAATAGTCTGTTTTTTATTGTTGCTCTTTCTGGAATTAGTACATACAGTGCAATAAATTGAAGTGAAACATACGTTTAACTTATTGCATCGGTTCAGAGTGCACCAATAATAAAAAATAGTCTTAATAGTATGCCGCGCGTTTCATCGCTAATTCGAGAAATAAAATCAAGTAGCTGTAACTAACAAAACGTAAAGTAGTCACATAAGATGTAAGCAGTAAGCAAATTGCTAATCATAGTAGAGATCGTAAGACCAGTAGCGAATCCAACGTTATTTCCTTACGTTTTTTATTACCATAGGCTGATATTATCTGATGTTGTGAGTGTAAACGAACATGTGATTTGTTTTCTGTTCCTGCACTGTTCTAGAACTCTCTTTCTCGCTTTAAACAAATATCTCACTTTAAATTCCCAAATTGTACACTAATTCAGCGACAGAAAACAGACCTAAGAACTTATGCATCGGTGTATGAGTCGAAATAATAATGTAGAAATCGAAATTAAACATGTCGGTAATTTATCGACATTTTTTTAGTTCTGCTTGGGAGCGAATGCGTTCCCGTCGAAATTCCTTTTAGGCTACGTCACAGTATAAGTACATACACTATGGACATTGAACTTAGGTGTGATTCCCAATTTTTAGTGCGCATGCATCGATTTTCAATTAGGAATGTAGCTGCCTTTGCAAATTGAAATTGCAGGTTAGATTAGATTAGCTGGTCTCCTTTTCATAAAATATAATTAAACCTTTTGCCTACCATATTGTGTGAGATTCGTGGTAAGGAAATCGGCCAAACATGAGTATCACGGAAACTCCGGCCGTGGTACGTCGTTCATATAAAATTTAATTTTTTTTTAATTTGTAAGAGAAAAGTATGGCAAAGAATTAATAAAATTAAGTTTTACTAAACAATTAAATCAAATTTTTTCAGAGACGATATTAGTATAGATTGTTATATTTGTATAAAGTATGCGCGCGTGTGTGTATATTATTAAATTACAACTTCACATTTAATTACAATTTTCATATAGTATTTAATCAATTATTATTTTTAATTTACTTATTACTGTTTAATATTATTATTGATGTGAATATTATTTTTATATAATGAGTTCGTTAACATTACATTATTATATAATTCTGATTTAAAAATATACTCGTTATAAACAATTTTCATATGCTGCGTTTCTGTGGATTCCCATGGATTTCCCTGAGTGCTCCCCGGATGTCATATTCTTGTCGTTTACCGAATGTTAAACAAGGATGACATGACACCCGAGCACCTGGGTGAGAATCCGAACGCAGCCTTAAGCATAATATAATAATAGTATAATATTGTAGGTGAAAAAGTTAATTATATTTTATGGGAAAGAGAGATCCAGCTAATCTAACCTAACCTACAATTTCAACTTACTGAAGGCAGCCACATTCCTGGTTAGAAATCGACGCATGCGCACTAAAAATTGGGGACCACATAAAAAATTCAGTGTCCATACTGTATGCACTTATACTGTAGCCTAAGGTGGTTCTACAATAAAGTGCCAAAAATTTAGAGCGCCTTACCAGGATCTATCTAAAATCACAAATATCTACATAATTTGGATAAAATATTAAAGTATTAATATTTTATGTGTATGTTAATGAAATAGTATAAAATAAAGAATATTTAATATGCAAAAGTAATGAAATAAAAAGAAGTTAATTTTTTGTTTTGTGAAAATAACACACCACGCACACACGCAACTTTGCCATTTCAACATTAAATACTTTTCTAGAATGGCCGATGACTTATTACTTTTCTGTGATCATTATAATCGTAATTTTTTTAACTATTATAATCTCTTTTTTTTTTTTTTTTTTAGAGAAATCTATGGTAATGTTTGTTTGAAATTAGTCAAAAAATCGTCTCCAACCTAACGTCACTAGGTTGTACGTTAAAAGTTACATTTTTAACATTTTTTTTTCCTCTTATTTCATCGATAAGCTACCCTAGAATTTTGCACACGTCAAGCTCGGTATTTCAACTTTATTATATTAAAAATTAGTCATTTCAAGCTCGGTATTTCAACTTCATTATATTAAAAATTATTCTATGG